CTAAATTATACCATACTCTCTGCGTTACAATGTGTTCTATTAGGATCGAGGGGTGATGCAGTAGCACGCGAATGGCATGATCGTGAGAATAAATAATTTCAGCCGCATAATCACAAACCATATACGGCCAGCAGATTACACCTGTCGGTAAATAAGTTTCTATCAGAATTCTGATGAAGTGCAATAGTTAGCTGAAAATAGACAGAGCTTCGTATATCGAATGCTGATACGACCTAAATTTCACTTTAGTTCTTCCTTTATGTACAATCACGGTATTTGTATATTAAACCAATAAAAAATTCAGACGGGTTTCTATATCTCGAATACACCGTATTTTCGCAGTAAATAGAAACTTGTTCTCGTGTTCCAAATATTACAACTGGCACAGCTTTCCATTAAAAGCATAAAAATCCCCAGTCTGTATATCGTTTTCAACTAAGAGCTCCGAAATTACTTGTATTACTCATCCTATATTGCTCATCACACACGTACGAAACCCTATTATTCATGTTATTCTTGACCCATCATTTACCGTAACACTTTCGACCCTTCGCCTATTGATCTGATCGTTACTTCACGCTTTTCCTCCGACGAGAATTCCCCTCGTAACCGTGGGACGAGTTCTCTGGGTACAGAGAATAGAACGTATAAACGAATGGACAAATGAATAAAACGTTGTGTCCCAGCGAGACTTTGAGTCATGCATGGCAACGCCGGCAGAGAGGTAATAGTTCGAACGTATCCCCCGAACGTTCCGGAGGTACGTAGGGACATTCGCCGAGTTTTATTGCCCCTGTTTTTGTCAAGCCCCACGGGGGACAGAGGCGTCGTTTCTTTCTCTTAGCAGTGATATTTCACCATGGTCAGAAGAGACGTTCGCCTCTTAAACGTTCTGAACCCGTTGGCTGGATTCGGTTTGGCGAAGGAGGGGCGCGAGACAGAAAGAGAGAAACAGGAAGACAGAAAGAATGAGGGGAAGTGTGAGAGAGAGAGAAAGAGAGAGAGAGAGAGCAGCGGGTAGTTACCCGCACTGCAGAATTGCCATTTTCCGCTCTCACCTTCCCCCCGCCATTTTACTCCCCTAATCCCAACGCCATAAATTAACCGGGACGGAAGTTCGATACGTTAGTCGCATTTGTCCACGGTACACCAAAATAAAGAGGAGCTCGCGTAATAATGCTCGTTCTCTGTTTCCTACGCTCGATTATGCTAATGCGCGCTTACCTGTCGCACCGAACGACCGACTGTTCCGCGAGTGTTTCGGGAAATTGCTTCTCATTACTCGACTCTCCGGTTTCGCTTCGTCTCCAAGTACGTTAGAGGTGATATCTCTCTGAACGGAAAAGGAACGAGGTATAATTGGTTGATTGTGAAATCATGGAAGTAGGAATATGATAGAAATGTTTGTATAGAGAGCTCAGAGGCTGAACTGATCACTGTAATCTAGTTCTTTATTTATGCTTTCCTCTTATCAACTTTCAGATGAAAGTAGAACATAATTTCAACAGAATTTAATCATTTGCTTATTTAAGCATTGTATTTGTAATTATTAAATTGTATTGTTGACTGAACTGTATTGTTTGCTCTGGCAAACGAAGAGATATTTATATGAAGGGATAAATAAGTTTTCGTAAAAGAACTAAACTCTCTATACAGAATAGCTTGAAATTTGGGATAGAAATGGGATTAGGAAGATTTTATGGCTCAAAATAAGATGATTAGAGTACAAGTAAATACAAATCAATAAAAATTGTTACATATGAAAATAAATCGGATATGTAGAATAAAATTCTTTTGCTTAAAATTCTATTTCGGAGAAAATACAACTGAATTTGGTTAATATCCTCGAAAAATTTGCAAATTCCATTTCTCGAAAAGGAGATTTTAAACGAAAAACTGTTATTGTACATTTTCAACTTATTTGTACATGTAGAATAATTTTCAGCCAATTGTCTGTTCCTATCCAACTAAAGTAGTCAAATGGTACATGCAGTCTTGGCAAATTTCCAATATTCCCGTCTCTATTGTAATTTCGTTACTCTTGATTTTCATCTTATTTTTAAACTATACTGCGAATTTATGCTATAGATTGTCAGAAAATAAAAACGGAAATTATCTCATTTATTGTATTATATTATATTTGAGGTTATGTCATATTAGCGATTTTAGAAAAATGGAATGTGAAAATTTTTGTGGGAAAATATTTAAATTCATAGTGAATTTGTAATTGTATAATTATTTATCATGAATTTTTTATGGGCAGAGAAAAATTAAAATGATAATAAAATGGATAAAATTATGGAT